TCTACTTTATTGAGTAGTAACTAGGATCTTAAAAGCTCATGATCAACCATCTAACGTGCAACTATTGTCTTGGTCTCTTCTCATCCAAAGGAAAGAAGAATGAGGAGAATCAAAAGACATTCGGAATTCATTAATCCATTATATATCAGTCTCCACAGTCAGAGGCCAGAAGAATTAGATAGTGCCTGGATCTATGTATCTACGTATCTACGTATCTACGTATCTACGTATCTACGTATCTACGTATCTATCTATCTATCTATCTATCTATCTATCTATCTATCTATCTATCTATCTATCTATCATATATCTATCATCTATGTACCTATACAGCAAGAAGGAATATAACAGCGAATTAGTCCACACAGCTGTACAGAGGGCTCAGTTAAACTCACTTATGTGGAAGGGTTAATACACTGGAAGCCCTTCAACTCACATGGACTTCCAGGTCCAAGGTCAAGGAAGAGGACAGCAGAGTCTTCTGTCAGGCAAGGCAGGCACAGTTTGCCCACAGGTAGCAGAAAGCAGGGTGGGTCAGCAGCAGTCAGTAGCTTGGAAGTTAAGCCAAGCAGGCCCTGATGTGCTTGAACTCAAGCACAGCAAGAAGACCTACCAGCCAAGCAATGTGCACACCAGCAGTGTGGCACAGCAGAACTCAAAGGAGCTTCAAGTTCTAGTGACATGATCCACTGGTTGGCTTGGTCCACAGGTAGTGTAGCACACAGGTTGAGGTGGAGAACTAACTAAAGCAGCAGCATGCTGGTCCAGTCACTAGGGAGCAAGAGGGAGATGGGATGCCGGCTGTCTCTATTTATTTTGGTCGTCTTCCAATCAAGCTTGAGCCAACTGAACTCCACCCATAGGTTCCCATTGGCCTAGCTGGCACAATAAGCCTAGCTATCACACCAACTATTATGAAAGGGACCACATTAGATGGTCCTGGACAGAGTGGTAGAAAAGGGTTGAACAAATTTCAGAATTATAAAAGAGAACAAGCTTATTGGTCAGATAGAGATCACTCAGATTATAGCCCTTCGTTACCTTTCAGTTATTTATGACACATTCAAGTTATGACATACTGTACAACTGTGTGGTTTTTGTTACTTTTGATACATATAATGTTAGTAATATGTATGTATGAGGGTAAGTAAAAAAATACTGCTGAAAAATAGCAGAAGTCCTTAACAAATCTATCAACATGTGAATCTATTGTTTCTTGAAATATTCAGTGCTTCCATTTCTCTAACCCTTTCTCAAAGAATTCTATACTCTTCCATTTATTTAGTTCAGAGTTTAAGAGAAATGGACTAGAAACATCAAAGACAGTTTTGTCATTCTCCAAGGCGTAAATCAGGTTTTTAAAGTGTCGTGTTTGAGAAACAATAAGACTCCCGAAGTGGCTGAAAGATCAGGATTCTAGGGTGAATGTGCTTAGACTTCCCAACAAAATTCTAGTAGGAAAGATTTCATACCTCAAAGAATGAGCAGGGCCATTGTTGTGAGGGGGAAGAATATTCTGAGCACAACCTTCTTGGTCTTTTCTCACCCATGCAGTTTTTAATTTTCTAAAAGCTTCCTCAGGGAAGACCCCATGATCATCCTTGGCCCTTGAGGAAAATTGATCAAAATTATCCCTTTGGAATGCCAAAATATAGTCTTCACAACATTCTGAGCTGACCCCACTGCCTTGAGTGTAAATGACCAGCAGATACCCTTGGGAGCAACTGTTCTTATTCCACCCTTTCCTGCTTTGAAGTCACTCTGGTGAGTCTGAGATCTCGAGAGAACTTTTCTGTCTGCAGACATCCAATGATCCCAGAGACATGTTTCAACCACATTTTATACAGAATAAAGCCACACAATTGACCTAGAATGATAGTGTAGAAATATTTTTGATATACCTGCATATAGATTAAAATATATTTCTAAGTTTACATATAGTGTTTTCAAACCTAAATGACATAGAAATATCAGGTTTATCAAGGTATTAACCACAAATGATTACTGTGTCAGTTACATAATCTCCTGTCAACTTGAGCGAAGGGGTGGAGTCTATCCTGTCAATCAGGTCATAGCCAGATTGATACCTTCTTGTGGGTGTGGCCTTCTCATGAGGATTCTGGAAATTCTTTTTCCTTCCTGGAGGTGGGACCCACTCTCCCTACTACACATTTCTGATGACAAGCACATGGTGCCACACTGATGGCAGCCAGAGCCCTGGAGATGCTTCAACTGCCACTAGGATCCACAAGACTTTTCACCCATTGGTCTGTGATCTTCCTGCATTCGGCATCATTGCATGCATTGCATTGAGTCTGAAGAGGAATTCATAGACTAGTATCAGACATATGGACTAGTATTGGACTTGTGGACTTGATCTGGACTGGACTCGGATGTTTTCTTAACATAGAATTACTGTTTGATAGAAAGCACTCTCTTACACATAAATGAGTGACTTTGAATTTGTTTCTCTAGTTAACCCAGACTAACACAATTATGAAAGCAAAAAACAAACAAAAATATTCAACTTATGTCAGAACCAACCTATAATGGGATCATCAGAATAGAACCCCATCATAAGACAGGGACTACTTGCAATTGGTATGTGGTGATCATGGTGATATATCTGGCAAGACTAACAGAATTCAGGATTTCATATTTTGTAAGACACATTTGTAAAATAACTTGAGTTGCCTCACAACTGTTCCCCTCTTCAGATACCAATGAGTGGGTAATCAATGTTAAAAATTAAATTATTGTGGTATTATAGTTACTGCTCCATATCCTATGAATTACTGTTAAAATATGAAAAAATCTACACACATCTTTTAATGTTGTAAAAGTAAAATAATATTAATACCTGTATATAATGGTTTTGAGAAACCAAATATTACCCATTTGTTGGAATGTGCTTCAAAACATGATAACTGTATTGGTGTGGCTATTTCTATGACATTTAATGATGTACTCAGAAGCAGCCGATGGCTATTAAACCATAATTGCCTATGTTTGAATTCTGCGAATTCTGGCTTTACCTTCCTGATTTATAAAACGGGGATAAGATAGGACATAACTCTTGCAGACAGGGTCAGTAAAAACGTGGAAGAACCACAGTGAAACGGATCGACACCGTAGCTGCAATAATGGACTCAAACAGAACAACTCGGTGAAGATGGCACGTGACTGGGCAGTATTCCGTCTGCGGCGTATACGGGCACTCTGAGTTGAAACTGACCTGGCGGCCCCTAACAACAACAGCTGTACTAGGTACGAAAATGAAGAGTTTATTTGGAGAAATTGACTAGAAGTGTGCCTAATAATACAGAGAACTCTGTGTGTCTGTAAAAGGTGTTGTCATTTTTATTAATAAAGAAAATAGAACGTTATCACTACATTACATTATCACCACATGTAAGTGAGCAAACATATGGACACTGAATAGTGGAGATATGGTAAAAAATAAATTAGTATTTTGGTAAAATATAGGTAACTATTGCATACACTTTGGATAAAATTTATCTACTGTTTTAATAATCAATATATATGTATGAATTATTGGTCTCATTGCTGTATACCTACAAACTCTTATCAGAAAGGTCACCGTTCTAAGAAGTCAATAGCTGATAATGCTGAATTTAAATATGTTTAAATAGTTTTTCAAGGTGTAAATCTCTGAGCATCTTTTGACATTAATTGAATTAACAGTGTGCAACACTGTTATATTTAGAAATGTGTTTCAATTAAAGTGGAAAAGAATTTCAAAACACAAGATTTTTTTGGAAAAAGTTACCTAAAACGTAATTATAGGAAACACTCTTTGAAATAGATGATTTTTGTGGTGCAACTACAAATGTAATGCTTAAAGACAAATAGAAATACCATTTTTAGAAGTTCCAGCAAGATGGCGACCAGGGTAGGCAGCTCACACTGGGAGCTCCTTGAGATTGCAAATAATTTGTTTAAAAAGATAGTTTGCAAAAAAATATATATTGTCGTTTATAATTCTCATTAAAAGAATATCTGGCAAATTGAAAATAAAAAAATAACCTTTTCAACACCTTTAATTGATTTTTTAAATTTATAAAATGTACTATTATTTTTATCAGACACATTCGACCATTAAACCAACTAGGCAACGAGCAGTACTTTAAGCTTTCTTTTCCTTTTTTTGTTTGAGATGAACTTGTTTGTCACTAAATATTTTACGTTCTCCTTTTATTTTGTAGCCGCTCAAATCACTGTTTCAGTTTCAGGGATAAGGCATCTGAAGGGATTTTTTCTGTCCTACGGTCATATTGTGTGTTTATCTTTACAATATTCACAAGTATGTTTCACTTTAGGAATGAATGAGTACATACTTGGGAATAGAAAAATAAGAAAATATATACTGGTGATTGAATAAAAATACTCATGTTACCTGAAAGCAGAAGGCCCAGAGGCGAGTATAAAAATAAAAAATTCTGTGGTACAGTTAAATAAATGTAACATGCCAATAATGAAATGATTAATTAGCAGACAGAGCAATGAAAAGTTCTATGCTTTAGAAATGTGCAAGTTTAGTTCTTTTCCTGAAGCTCTTATGGGCATAATGAATAAATCTAGTTTCAAATAGAATAGATTTAGTGTAAATAAAATAGAACAGATCTAGTTTATATCTCAGTTTAAAAACATCATAGCATCATAATATGAGCTTAATAATAATCAGCAAGTTCCACAACATGCTGATCTGTAACATACATTGAAATAAAAAGTACCTCACATAGATTTTGTAAACTGAATGACTTACTTTATTATCAACAATTAACAGCAATAAAATAATTTATTTTAATCTCAGTCTTAGAGAAGTGTATGAACTTGTTCTAATCAAGAATGCCATCCACCTACAAGCTAAGCTGTGATTAGACAATTGCAATCTCAGATATCTTTTTCTACAAAACTAGTTTTAGACTGCTTAGACTTATTCTTTCTCATTAAACAAAACTAGAGTCTTTAAATGTCTTTCATTTCACTGCAAAACCACAGCATTTCTCTAATAAAATATGCCTGAGGGCTCTCTTCACGTCCTTGTTCCTCAGTGTGTAAATCAGTGGGTTCAGCATCGGGGTGACTACAGTGTAGAAGAGCGCTATGAACTTTCCTTTCTCGTGAGAGTTGCTCTTGGCTGGCTGGAGGTACATGAAGATGATGCTCCCATAAAACAGGGATACCACTGCCACATGGGAAGAGCAAGTGTTGAATGCCTTCCTTCGCCCTTCTGCCGACTTGATCTTCAACACAGCACGAGCAATGTGACCATATGAGATCAAAATAAGACCCAGAGGCAAGACAACAAAGATAAAACTGGCCAGGTACATCTCTAGCTCATTGAGGCTGGTGTCCACACAAGCTAATTGCATAATGAGGGGCATCTCACAAAAAAAGTGATCGATATGATTTTTTCCACACAGTGGTAGCAGCATGGTGAGTGTGGAGCCCACCATGCTGGTGATGAAACCTCCAAACCATGAAATAAAGGCCAGGCCCGCACAAAGCTGTGGATGTATGATTGCAGTGTAGTGGAGGGGCCTGCAGATGGCAGCATAGCGATCATAGGACATGACTGCCAGGAGAACACACTCTGTTGCTCCCAGCCAATGAGAGACGTAGAATTGGACCACACAACCTCCATAGCTTATGGTTTTCTGTGGTCCCCACAGGTTGACCAGGAGTTGTGGGACAATACTTGTGATAAAGCTAATGTCCAGGAAGGAGAGGTTAGTGAGGAAGAAGTACATGGGAGTGTGGAGCCGCACATCCATGCATGATACCAGAATGATGATGCTATTGCCCACAATTGAAACCACATAAAAAATAGAGACAAGCAAGAAAAGGATAGGTTCAAGGGAGGGTCGTGCAGAGAAGCCCAGGAGTATAAAGACTGCTGGAGAACTTGCATTGCTTGTTCTCGTCATTATTCAACACGGGATGGGAAAAATAGACCACTTGCGGGTGGGGCAGAGGATATGAGAAATGTAGTGATTATATGTTAGCAAACATAGAAATAATTATTTACCGATTGTTGTTGAAAGCCTTTGTCCAACCACACTGTGGACCGCATTACTCTTCCGAAGCCCAATTTGCAATAATTGAAAAGACTTAACTATGTTCATTGCCTGGGGGGAAATATATAGTCATGCAGTGTTGACACAGATTTTTTTTATTGAATGATTACTCAGATTTTCAAAACCTGGAGTTAATACAAATGAATATTCGTGAAGATTCTGTTAGATAGATGATAGTGTTGCGTGTGATAAACTATTGAGTAAGCATTAGCATCATGCTTTATTCCCAACACTGATATTTCTTTCTCTTACATCCAATAATTGTCAATATTTATTTATTTATTTATTTAGTCTCTCAGATATTAGACAGTAACCATTTATCTCGATTTTTTAATACCACCCTAGCACATGCTGCCATTATTTACTCCCTAAATTACTGATATAATATTCTAATTTTCCCCTTTGCATTCCATTTGCCCATCTTCAAATTATTCAGAAAACAGGAAGCAAGGAGCTATATTAAGATATAATATGAACATATCACTCTGCTGATCCACAGTCCCTACCCCACATCTCATTGTTATGCTATCAGCTACATCTGTTTGCCATTCTTGTTGTGCTTGTCTCCAAGATGACTCCTCATGTCCTGCACACAGTTTTCCAAAAACCACCCTCTCATTACGGTCTTCTGACTTTGCTATTTATTTATAACTAAGGAATTACTTTATCGTTGTGCCAGCACGTGGCTCAGTGGATTCTATGCAATAAATTTGCTATTTAATACTGAAATACTATGTTTCCTTCTCAATTTTTGATAGTATTTATTGTGATATAACACAGATAGTACACTTACTTATTCAATTACATGTTCCATGGAGCCATGACTTTCTGTGCACTTTTCTTATTTTTGTATCACCATTATGTACAGTCTGATACACAAGGCTCCTTAATCAGTATGTGATGAATGTACATATTATTAAATAGGCCATTAGAATGTTACTGGGCACTGTAGAGGAGAGCTAAAGTTACATAGCAGCATAGAGAATGCTCATCCAGCTAATCTTCTATATTTCAGTTGATTTGCTGGTAAAGGATTCTTGGAAGTTTCAGAATAATGCAGAGGTGACCCTCATTATCCTCTGCTCCAGCATTTGCTGTGATAGAGGTGGAATAAAATAAAAATTTGACCTAGCAGAAACCGGTAAACAGATGTGTAAATCCAGAGACCCCTGCAGGAAAAGTGGACAAATTCAGTTGACTTCCAATTTGACTGGAAGCTTCAGGAACACATTCTTTAAAAACCAAAGAAAGAAAATCAAACTCTATTATTTCTTGTATTTTTAAAAATTATAAATCAGCTACATTAACTGTCCATCCACTTCTGGGAACCAGAAAAACTATGAACTCAACTATACGAAAATCCAAACCTCTGTCATTGAGTAGATTCGGACTCATAGTGACCCTATAGAGGGTTTCAGAGGCTTTGCAAATCCTCACAGGAGCAGTCAGCTTCCATTTTCTTTTCCGGGGCAGCTGGTGAGTTCGAATCACCTACCTTGTTGTTAGCAGTCCTCTTCTTCCCCACAAGTGCCTCCAGGGTAAGACTCTTTAAAGTCCTAAGGAATGAAACCTGTCTATACCTATAAATGTAAAATAAATCCAATCAAATAAACATATACATTCACAATATTTTAGAATACATGTAAGGTTTTCATTTGCAATACAAAGTGTGTCATGGGAAGCATTTGGCATTTCCAAAATCCACACTTACTATTTTTTCACCAATGTGAACCTTAGTGCAACAGAATTCGGAGACAATTATTTGGGTTATACATAGCCAAGCAGGGGAACACTGATATACTGGGAGAAAGGGTCCAGGAAAGATATCCCAACCCAAATTGGGAAGACAATCGGGAGGTGTCAGGCCATGTGTTGGTTTATAATATAGATATGGAGAGAAGAAGTGAACTGTGCTAGTTAAGGGCTATGACATCATGACTGAGACAGACTAATTGCCACATATATAGAGTCATCACAGATGTATTGTTGAGGACATTGAAGAAATAAAAGGCTAAATTGTAACTGTATCTTTCCATGTGGGTGTCAGGGTCTCCTGAGCATCGGGACAGAAACTTTGTTCTCTCATAGCTGGTGATATGCAGAAAATGCATAAATGTATTCAAGAGGTGGAAATAATAATAACACTCTTGAAGTAATGATGTTTTTGTTGTCTAGTGTTAAGTGAATTCTGACTCATAGAGATCCTATTAGACAGAATAGAATTATCTCATTAAGTTTCCTATGTTTAAATCTTTATGGTAGCAGATTGACAGGCCTTTTGTACCTGCTGAGTGGCAGGTAGGTTTTAACAGTGATGTTTCTGTTACCAGACAAGTTCTTAATCATTGTGCCAGGTATTTTTGTTAAGTATTAGTTCAAAAGATATTTTGAGGGAATAGAAATTTTCTTGATGATCACCTCTAATGCTATTTCTAGAAATCTTTCATGGGTTGCCAAAGTCCCATAGTTACTTGGTGCAAGTACTGAAGTTATGTATAAGATAACTAGTCTCATTGGACAAATATAACATTCCCAGTAACTCATTTTCAATTTCTGACCACATCCTAAGTACTGTGACATTCATAATTGACAAAAAAAAATAATGGCATAGTTAGAGGTATGTAAAGACCTTGGGTCATACATTTATTTTACCTCTGGATGTAGTTAACCTGCTAAAATACTACAAGAAGTGCAAATCAAATCATTTAAATGCAAAACCATACACTCTGTGATCCCCTGTTTATCTTCCATAACAAATGAAATAAAAAAATACAAGAATGTGACTTACTTGTGTTGAGCTAATTGCTTTTAAGTAGATTGGACAAGTATCAAGTTGCTGGAAAGTCAGCAATATTTTACCATAAGCATTGATTTAGTTCACAAGACATTTAAAAGTAGGAGAACAGATAGGGGATTTTGAATCACTTAAAATATTGGACACTTCAAGTCAGTGATGATATTATGTTCTGTTGCAATGCCTATATGAGAGTACATTATAAAATAGTTCCAATGTAATGGGGATGTATTTTTAAAATAACAATAAAAGAAATAAATAAAGAAAACTGATGGCAAAAATGTGAGGGTGGTTAATGCATGGTATTTTACCGAATGAGAGGATATATGACAACCCCCAAAGCACTCAGGGTAGTACAAAGCCCTTATAATCATGTCATCATCTTATCCCTTGAGCTTTAAGGAGGGAGACACATGGTGAGGCTGTATATCAAGGGAATGTAATTGGAATAAAAATAATCTTTGGGAATTTTTTTCCCGATTGAATCATTAATGAGTGTTGGCTGTGCATTGGATAAGGCATTGGCTGCAACAATGAATTCAAGCATAGGAACCATTGTAAGGATGGCACAGTGCCAGGCAGTGTTTTTTTCTGTTGTGCATAGGTTAGCTAGGGTCAGAACTGATGCTAAGACACATAACAACAATAGCAGCAACAACAACAACAACAGTAAGCTTGGCTGTTCCAACCCATCAGCAGCTGAGAGTGAGAAAGATGGCGCTATCTGCTCCCTGGCTTATTGAATAATTATACACAATTATAAAATTATACATAATATATTGGATAATGTAGACACACAATGAAGGTATAAGGGCAAAATTTACAGCAACTAGAGCAGAGTCAACAAGATAATCCAACTAATAGCAAAAGAAAAGAAATAATAAAAGTTAGGGCTGAGATTCAGGAGAGGGAAAATAAGAAAACTATGGAAAAATTAATACTGCTAAAAGTTAGTTCTTTGAAAGGATAAATAGAATCGACAGACCCCTGGCAAACTTAACCAAAGAAAGGAAGGAACAAATTTCAATAGCAAGGATGAGGGATGAAAGAGGGGACATTAAAAT